CCAGCCCTGTAGTCAGTTGATGTCCACTAAGGTTTGAGAACTGATAGTGTAGAGTATTCTTTACATGTTGGCTCCATAGAAGGTGAGGTAATCCACTACATAGTGCTGTGATTTCAGAATGATTCCCTTTGAAAAATTAATTTCCCTAAATCTATTCATTCAAAAACTGTGTTGAGTGTGTGCTATCTTTCAGGCACTGTGAACACTGCAATGAACAAATCTGATACAGTCAATCACAAAAATATCTATATGTTAGCAATGGACACAGACAATAGTGTGGTGAAGGCCTGGAGAAGCAGGTGAGTGCAGGGTGGAGGAAATCAATGGGGGAAAAAAGGGACATCTGTAATACTTTCAACAACAGTGATAAATAAAATAAAATAATAAAAAATAAAATTATGCTATGGAATTGACTCCCAGGTGATCTGAATATTGGTTAGGGAATCATGAAGGAGTCCCTAAAGAAGTGACATTTAAATCAAGAAAGAATGACCAGGAGTTAGTCTGGTGAAGGGCGGAGGGGATATGTAGTCATTCTAGGCCCTAAAAGAGAGAGGCCTGGCCACTATCAGGGACTGAAGACAGATCAGCATGGATAGGTCATTGTTAATGATGGGTATTGAAGCTGGAGAGGCAGATCTGATAGCTCAAGCAGGGACTTGTCATATTAAAGATTTTGAACTTGCCACTGAGGGCAATTAAGAAGTCATTAAAAAGTTTCAAGCATGAGCTAATATGATCCAATTCATGCTTTTCTAAATGTAAATTTTTCTATTAAAAAAGGAAAAGCTTTTCCCAATACACAACTGTGGGTGTAATAGCAGGATAATTTAAATTTCCTGTAAATTCTAATTGTCTAAAAGAAACTTTCTCTAAATAAGGCTTTGATGAGGTGGGAAGGAACACAGAGTGTCCATGTGGGGACTAAATGCTAGGAACAGAGAAGGAGGAAGGGCTTAGAAGCTTCTGCTTTGTGGTTGCGGCTGAGACTGGTCCTGCGTATGAACATCTGAAGCAGCAGGAGTGCAAATTCAAGGCCATTGCTGCTTTTCTCAGGGGTCTTCTTTCTCCCCTTCACAGGAGACCGTGGTGCTCAGGCTGTGTTCAACCTAGAGGTGTTTTTTTCCTACATATGACCTCATTTAAAGATTTCATTCACTTTCTGGCATCATAGTCACCTCCCTGAGAGTCTATATGTCCTGTCCGACCATGATTATATTTTCATTTTTAATATCTTTGTGTTATTGCCTTATGCTAATATATTATTTTAACAACAGTTGCAAATATGCAATTGTTTAGTGCCTGTCTGTGTACAGTTCACTAATGCTTGGAAATGCATACAGACCCAGCCCTTACTGCTCACCTGCATTTCAGTGACATGTTTCATACTGTCTGCTGGACAGCTGACCTTTGAATGTCACTGCAACAACAAATAGCCTGCCTGTAATTGAACTCATCACGTCTTTCCCAAACCAACTTGCCTCTGACCTCTTCTGCCTTTGTCGGTAACATTAGCATTTATTGTCCCCCAAGTTCCAAGGTTTGAAATCATTACCAACTCCTCTGTCTTATGCTCTCACCAATTCCAAGCATTTAGATCATTCCTATTCCTGGGTGGAATGCCAGTGTGCCAATGCTCCCCCCTTTCATTACCTTGTATCATCCTAGTCCTGCTTATCTCAAAGTAGGATCCTTATACCACATTCTCCTACATCTAGGTTACTTTCCCAGGACACCTTCAGGACACTGTGACTACTCTGTGCATGTTGTTCTTCAATAAGCCTATTTTATTTGGCTAATGCTGCTCTGTATTATCTTTTGCGGTGGAATCTTATTTTCTTCTTAACAGAATATTATGTAAAACACCATTATATTAAGAGAGATAATCATGACACTTCTCCGGCTGAAGATGGGCTAAAGGGAGTACAATCCTCTTAATCTGTCCTCAACTTTAGCACCAAGAGGCTCATTGAGGCAGTTTGAAAACAAGGATGTACAGAATGGAGATAAACTCCTTGGAAGGATATGCATGTTTTGCTCATAATGTCTCTTTAAAACATTTTCATTATCATCAATCTATGCAAACCTTCCAACCTAGTCATACAAATTCACACAAAATTCTTACGTGCACAGTGTCATTCCCACATCCTGGTCTGGGCTCATGGTATTTTCCCTGCCTTGAGTGCCTGGAGTGCCAGCCATACATCTCTGCCAAACTAAATTTGACTTTCTTCAGTCCCAATAATCCCACTTCTTAAGGGGTTTCCAGATTGTTCCAGCTCTCAGCAATTTTTCTTTCTTCAGATTCCTGCAGTATTCCTCTTAAATTCACCCTGACTGCCTCAAACGTTCATCTTTTCAGGTGTATGTTCAATTTCTCCTAATAGATAATAGGCCACTTAAGGGGAAAATCAAGTCTTTTGTCACTTTTTATCCTCAGCACCTAGTACAATATGCTGTCCTTGGTATTTGCTTAGTGGGTATATTTTGATGATAACTCACAGCAAGAAAATAGGCCCATCGATCTCACTTTCATTAATAGAAATCTAAGTTAAGTATCCTGCCTTTGAAAATGTTCCTCCAGAGCAGTGCTTTTAAGTTAGGAGAACCACTCACTACGACTTTAATTGCAAGCATCACTTTTTTTCTCCAATTACCATTAAGCCTGCAACCAGCTTCTTCGACTGTCTTCATTAAATTATGTTGGAACTAGGTTTGGGAAATGATAACAGATGGTTGCAAGTGATAACAGATGGTTGCTATCCCCCAACACTTTAGCTAAGCCACATTTAAGTCATATTCAAAAGATTACCAGAACCTCTCATGAATATCCAGATCAAATGACGTCACTTCTCTTTAAATTCCTTAGCATGTGTCTCAGGCCTCATCTCTACCACCCATCCCCCTCACCCACCACACCCTGACCAAAACAGCCAGCTTTCAGTTCCCTGGGTTGCTCAACTCCTTCCCTCATCCTGGCCTCATGCAGTGGGACTCGTCCGGGATGGTCTCCCCTGTTCCTTTCCTTGATCAATTCCTGTCATTCTTTGAGCCCCAGTCAGCTTGTATCTTTCTTGAAAAAGGTCTTCTCTGATCTCCCAGAATAAGTAAAGCTTCCTTGTTGTGTTCTCATATTCTAATATTCCTTATCACAATCACAATTATATATAACTATGGAATGGTTTTGTGACTGTTATCCCCATCTGACTGTAAGCTAAGATGTCAGAGGCTATACAAATCTCATGCATTAGGATGTTTTCAAGCCTGGAATAAACCTGATGCACAACAGAGGCTTGAATGAATAAATGCATGATGCAAAGGTGTACAGTTGAGTAAAAAGTGCAAGAAAGCAGCAGTTTTACAGCTATGAAATGTCTGCATGTTGAGACCTTTCAGTACATGATTATCACTAAAGTTAATGCGGTCTCCTTCCCTGAAGGCTCCAGCAACCCCACTGATATGTCCATGACCTGTTTCTGTGTCCTTTCAGTCTTAAATTACCCTGCTGAGTCAAACAACTGGAGAACAAATTAGCACCAACTGCAGAGGAGATTTTCTGATACAAAATTCTGACCTTAAAAACCCCTAACCTTGAATATTTTTTCTGTCAGGGTGCTAACAGTTCACCAAGTTTACATGGAAGAGTCTAAGGTTTCCTACACTTTCAACCATATTTCCTCCACTAGTCTTGTCTTAACTAGTATGGGTACAAGACTCAACTGGTTTGTCAGTCCCTTTACTAGGACAAACCATTATTCAATTTTAAAAAAAGGAAAAAGGGAACATTTAATTCTATTGTTCTTCTCAGATCCACCTTTTCTCATTTTGTCACTTTATATCCAACCAGACAAATAACAGCATGAATAAATGTTATGTTTTAAGGGTAGGCGTCTAACACACACCTGACTCACAGCAGAAAGAAACACATTTGCATGGCATCAAGTCTGTCTCTACAGTGACTGACCCGCATACTTTAAAATTATCAGACCCGTCATGGTAGGTGGCAGGAGGCGTCTGAACAGAGTTATGCACCTGGAACCCTGCATCATCCACATACTTGCCGCTTTCTGTTACTGCCAATATTTCAGTGCTGGAATCTATTTCTGGAAGTCTTTTCTTGATTGTCTCATTTTGCCTAAGACTATGCAAAAGCTGCGGATCCCTATGGTGGTATCTGCCTTTGCTTTCTTCGTGGTTCCTTGAGGATCTCTTAATCTCATAGGATCCTCTAGGCAGGGAAACACTGCACTCTTGGAACTATGGGCCTTTTCCTCTGCAGAGATTTAAAGAGCAACTCTCACATCCAATCACTTCTTGCTGCTTTTTATGTTTGGATCCCAAATTTACCAGATCAATTCCAGGAGGAGCAGGAGACACATCCAAGTTTCCACATGATTTATTATTATTCCCCCTTTGTGACAGTCAGAATTTCACTTGGGCTCTTCTTTTTGCCTGAGTCCAGTGACTCTCATCTATGGAAGATGAATCTGAAAGTTCTGTGTAAAGCTCACTCCATCTGGGGCTTGAGATCTGGAGGTGAAAATCATTTCTTCTCCCTTTTCTTTGTTCTTCTGCATGCTCATATCTCTCAGAGGCCCTTCTCCTCCTCCTAGGCCTTTGTTTTACTGATTTATTACCAGACTCCTTCCTAGCAGGGCTCAGCACCATGACAGGGGTGCATTGCTCAAATGCATCTTCTGACATGTCATGCAAGATGGTAGATCTAGACAAAGCAGCAGGCAAAGGGTGGGAAATGGGAATGGACAGGAAAGCCATGGGAAAACAGAGAGAGAGAACGATGAAAATGATAGCATGGACCAGAAGTCGGTAAATAGAGATCAAATGAAGAAAATGCACTAAAGGAAAACATTAAGCCAGTATAAATTATCCAGGGAACAGTATAAGGCAGAAGCAAGAGCCACCCAGTCTCAGAAGGTAAAACAAGAATATAAAACACTGGTCTAAAAAACATTGAGTAGAATCATTTGCTGAGCACTTACCTGCAGATGTCCTGAGTAGACGGACAGACAGACAACCTTGACTGGCTCCTGGGAGCTGTCCCTGTGGTTGGGCTGCTTGCCTGGAGAAACAAGTTAGATAATTTGGCATCTTGATTAAGGTAATACATGGTCGATATCTTGCTTTTTTTCCACATATTTAAAAAATTACAACAAACGTGGCTGCCGGTCATGTTGATTAAAACGCAGCTCACGGAATGTGGGAAGTTAAGAGTTCGTTTTGCAAAAGTAAAACTTATTTGAGGAACTTGAAACAGCTGAGATGCTGCACCGCTTTGCTGTTGCTTCATTTATGAGAGAGGAAGATGATTCTACAAGTTTCTATTCTAGTTACTGTAAACATTTGAGTGGAATGGCTCAATTTGCCTTGGAAACAAATGGGTAGCACTTGAATATCTTATGCTATAAAGGACATAAGGGCCATTACATGACAAGGATGATAATAATCCAGGAAGCCTAAATAATCAAATAGCCATTAGATTGCTAGATATTGCCTAGAGTTGGCATTAGGTCACAACAAGGCCCCATGAGATAATATATTTGAAAACACTCTGTAGTATTTAAAAGCCTGCAGTTATCTCTACTTCATCATTGAAACTAATAAAATCTATCTGTCACAACATTATTGACTTTTCATATCTTTTAACCCTGTTAACATACTGAACCTAAGAATAAGAGAGGCTGAAATAGTTCAGATTGTTGGCGCAAAGTTGAGTGCATTTCACTAAACTCCCACCTTGCTTCACTCCATCTGACTTTTTTAACCTGTTTAATAAAGATGATGGTAAATCATAAGTTAGAATGTATGTAGCCCTGGCCAGTGTGGCTCAGTTTGTTGGGCATCATCCTGTGCAGCGAAAGGTTGCTGGTTTGATTCCTGATTCCATGCAGGAGGCAGCCAATCGATGTTCCACTCTCACATCAGTGTTTCTCTCTGTCTCACCCTCTTCCTTCCTCTCTCTCTAAAACTCAATAAAAATATTTTTTTAAAAAGAAAGCTAGCCCGGCTGGGCGAGGCTCAGTGGTTGAGCGTCGACCTAGGATCCAGGCGATTGGGGTTCGATTCCCGGGCAGGGCACATGCCCGGGTTGCGGGCTCGATGAATGACTCTCTCTCATCATTGATGTTTCTATCTCTCTCTCTCCTTTCCTCTCTCTGAAATCAATAAAGATATATTTTAAAAAAAAGAAGAAAGAAAGCTAGAGTGTATTGAGGATTTACTGCATTGTGCTGTGGCATTTTCTATTCTCTTTAATTCTTACAATATTCTTGCAAGTGGGAAATAGTAATAACTAACAGTTTTGAGTGAATATTATGTGCCAAGCACTGTTTTAAGTATTAGTCTTATGTTCACTTATTAATACTGTAATTAGTTCCATGTTCCAGATGAAGAAACATCTCTGTTTCTTACTAGTAAGTGTTAGAACAGGGATTTGGATGAGGAATCTTGCTCCTTCATCTACTCTCTTGTCTACCTAGCAATGCACTTCTCCTTTACAGAGGAGGAAGCCAAGGAAGTTCTAGTTCCAGATTCAAGCCAGTCTGACTGCACAGATGAAATACACAATTTTGACACCAAGAAAATAACAGCAAAGGTAGAAAACTCAATTCTAAATTTCAAAATTGTTCCAAAAATTCCCATATTTGAAATATTGTGAGATCCAGAGAAAGAGAAACTAATTCTAGCTTAAAAGGTCAGAAGAGCTTGAAAGAGGAGGCATGGTAGGCTGAATAATATTACAACTGTCCCCCAACCCCCTGCAAGATGTTAACATCCAAGTCCTGGAAAATTGTGAATATGTTTCCTTACACAACAAAGGGTACTTTGCAGATACGAGTAAATTAACGATTTTGAGATGGGGAAGTTATCTTGGATTATCCTGGATTATGTAATCATGAGGAACCTTACAAGATGGAGGCAGAAGAGTTAGACTCAGAGAGAGACAGTGTAAGGATGAGAGCAAAGAGAAGAGAAGATGTTACATTTCTGTTCTTAAAGATGGAGGGAAGGGTCCCTGAGCCAAAGGCTAGGTTATTAAATAAATAGCATGGGCAAAAAATGACTGGCCATTTGGGAAAATGTAAAGCTGGATGCCTTCCTTACTGCCTACACTAAAGTTTAGGTGGATGGAAGACTTAACTATAGTAAAATAAAACCATAAAATATGTGAAGAACATATAGCTGAATATGCTTATAATATTTTGGAAGGGAATCTCTTTTCTTAGGATGACATGAAACAAGAAATTAATGGAGGAAAAGACAAATAAGCATGATATTTAGAAAAATAACTCTTAATTTTTATAAAAGAAACACATATACTCACACATGAAGATTACCCCAGAAAAAATTCAAAGCCATAAATAATACCATATTTATAACATACATGATAGCCAAACAGCTCCGTTCTCTAGTATTCAGAGATCTTTTACAAATCGAGGAAGAAAAAGTTGATTGATCTTTGAGAAAAATGAGTAAAACACACAGAAGGTTTACAGAGAAGGAATTACACGTGGCCAAAAGCCACGTGTAAAAAAGATGCTCAATTTCAATAAGCAAACAAATGCAAATTCAGTTAACAACGGTATTTACTTCCACTTATCAGATCAGCACAGTTTAAAAAGATTGATAACGCCCAGTGTACTGAAGTGGGGGAAACCAAGCATTGCCGTATATTGCTGAAAGTACATCATTGTAAACTGGCACAACCTGTTGAAGGGCAATTTGGTCAACTCTATTAAAACAGAAAATGTCTATGCTGTTCAAGTCAGAAATTCTAATCATAGGAATCAATTTTGCTAAAACACCTGCACAATTGCCCAAAGATATTTTCATTATAACAGAAATGTTCATTATAGCATTATTTGTGACAGCCAGAGATTGGAAACAACCCAAATGTTTAGTTATTTACAATGAAATACAAAAGCCATTTAAAGGAATGAGATGCACCCCATGTATGCACACATAATCTCACACACGCATATTTGTAGGATATATTTTTATGTGAAAAGTCAAGTTTCAAAATTGTATATAGTACGATCTCATGTGGGAAACTAATGCTTTCACGATGTAAGTTCTCATATGAATAGAGAAGTATACATACAAATGTTAGCAGTGATTATCATTGAGAGGTGGAATTATGAGAAACCTTTAATTTTCAGGTTACCTATTTCTGTAATATTTTAAATCTTTCATTTTAATAAAAGAAAAATTTTAAATCATATTAATGATCGCATTACAAATGACAACCATTAATATCAAGAATCAAGATATGTGGGGTTTTTTCCTACAATTTAAGTAATAAAGTCATTTCGTGTTTAACCTCTTTGAGCTCCACTTCTCTTTTTCAATTAAATGTAGTCAATATGACATCTGCATAAAAGGACTGTTAGAAGGATAACAGAAAATCATTGATCAGGTAAGTGCTTTGTAGCATGTCCAAGGGTTGTAATAGGATGTTAATCTTGGAATATGAGAATTCCTTTGATTCATTTCCAACAAATCATATTTTCTTCCCACATTGGACTCAATAGTATCCCTTCATTCAAAGAGAAGACACATAACAGCCTTAAGTCAACGACTCCAATCTAGGCTAAAAATTAGAATCGCTGGGAAGTTAAAAAAAAAAAAAAAAAATGATCTCTTGCCAGGCCTAATTTTAGAATCTCTGAGGAAGGGGATCGAGGGTGTAGAGCCTGATCATCAGTATCCTTAAAGCTGCCCCAGTGAGTAACTCACTGTATACAAAACTAAGGACCTAAGTTCTTGGCCAAACGGGAGATTATACTACTTCAAATATCATATTAGTGTTGTTGTTGTTGTTTTCTGAGACTCCAGTGATAATATTCTTGAAAGTCTGATTTTTTTTTTTAATAGAGAAAAGTGTTTGCTAAATTCCCAAATCTCATTATCTATCTACATGAGATCTTGGAATTCCAGTCATAGTTCTACTATAAGCTATAGCAAAAGGAGATGAAGGGTATAAACCTAAGGACATTTATTTTATTTTTTTGTTTTTGTTTTTAGAAATTTTTTTTTGGTATAATATCTTTATTGATTTCAGAGAGAGGAAAGGAGAGGGAGAGAGAGAGATAGAAGCATCAATGCTGAGAGAGTCATTGATCGGCTGCAGCCCGCAACCCGGGCATGTGCCCTGACCGGGAATCGAACCCCGATCACCTGGATCCTAGGTCGATGCTCAACCGCTGAGCCACGCCCGGCTGGGCTAAACCTAAGGAAATTTAAAATTTACCAGAAGGAGAATCATGCACTGCTTACTACTTGCTGCTGAAGAGCAGGACAGTAGAGAAGGGAGAGAAGAACAAAAGATGAAATTCCAGTGTTTTCTCTCCCCATTGATCCACCCAGGGTTGAACATGGTTTGGGGAGAGGGTGTGGGGGGCAGGGCATGATACTTGGAAGACTCACCATTACATGCTTGGGAGCAAACCAAGAGCACAATGCTTGTTTTTCCCTTCCCTGGAAAGACCACATGTCCTTAAGATGAGCTTCTCAGCGGGCAAGGGCAGTGCCAATGTAGCACCTGGCTGGTACATGAGAGGTAACCGAGGCAGATGGACCTGAGCCAGCTCTCTCGCACCCTCCGCCTGGGGTGGGGTGAGGGAATCCAGATGTCTTCTTGTGCTTTTGTGTGAAAGACAACTGAGATTGCTAGCCTGAGGAAGTAAGCAAGGGTCACCAAAATTAAAATAAATGTGACTTTATAACAGAGGCCCACAGAAAAGACTACTCAGGCAAGAGGTCTGGAGATTTCAGTGAAAACCCAAATCGGTTGGAAGGTCAGACTGTAGCAAAGAGCCAGTTGTCAGGTCTAACAGCCAGCGTTTGGTGCTTTAGCAATAGGCCTGGAAAAAACCTGCAGTATAGAACCTAAATACAGGCCCCTGACCAGTGTATTCTGAAAACTGTAGGGAAATGGGAAGAAAACTTGAAACACTGAATGTAATAATAAGTTTTGAACTGGTAGAGGCTGGAGTCTTGTTTTGAAAAAAAGCAAACATTTCTCACATCAGCAGGAAAAGGGGGCTTAAGAAGGAGATAAAA